AAAAATTCATAAAATGTTGCAACTTAAAGTGTTGCAACTTAAGTTGCAACTAGTTAAAAATTTTAAAAATAATTATAAGAACCATTTTTAATTATTTCATAATCTTCGATCAACTTTAATAATAATCACAAACTTCAACAATAACCATCAATTCCGCAACCTTAACAACCAACTTTAACAATAACCACCATCTCTAACTTCAATAACAACAACCATTTCCAACTTCACCAACTTCAACAAAAACTAACTCTAACAACAACTGCTAATTTTGACAGCTTCTTTCTCTAATTCCAACTTACAATCCTTTTAACTTTTAATTCTATACCTTTGATTTTGCAAAAAACAAAATACCACCTTTTTTATCTAATATCATGGTATTATACCATCTCTTTTTAAAATATCACAACGCCACCTTTTTTTATTTTATGATGCTACGTATTCTTTTTTTGTTTAAATTAGTATCGCAAAAATCATTTTACCAATTCATCGCATCTTTTATTTTAAAATAACACTAAATGCGTTCTTGCTTCAGTCTTATTTTTTTTCTTTAATATGACATTTACAAAAAAAAATTAACTCTTTCAGATTCTCAAATTTGTCTATATGTTGATAAAAACAAATTAATCCAGACTCAATATATTGATTGGATTGAAAAAAAGTGGGGTTTTAGAGTTAATGAATCTACTATAATGCGAGTTTTACAAAGTAAAAACAAATGACTTACCATAGAACTTACTCATTCAGAAAAAAAACATCATAAATCTGTTACTTCTCCTGAATTAGAACTTGCTCTTAAAGAGTTTGTGTTAAATTATCAACACTGAACGATTTTAAGTGATACATTATTGGGCGAAAAAGCAAAGTTATTGGTAAGTGGATTGGAAATTCCTGAAGATACTTTGAAATTTTCTTCTGGATGGCTCCAAGGTTTTAAAAAACGTAATAACATTCATCAAGAAAAACTTCAAGAAAAGGCAGCATCTATTGATCAATCTATTATTGCTGAAGCTTTACCATTATTGCGTAATAAGTGTGCTGAATATCTACTTGAGCAGATTTATAATATAGACGAAACAAATCTTTTTTACTGGTATGTATTTTTTTTATATATATGTTATTTAATATAATATTTACATTAATATTAATATTTTTTATAGATTAGAGCCAGATTGGACTTTAGCTACAAAACGTCTTTATGAACATAAGAAAAATAAGGAACACCTTTCTGTTGCTTTGTATGCAAACGTTAATGAATCACACAAGTTACCTCCTTTGATTATTGAAAAGTACGCAAATCTGCGTTGTTTTAAAAATATTAATATTTCTAATTTTCAAATGACATACCGAAACAATTCTAAAGCATGAATGCTTATAATAAATTTTCAAGAATGGCTTTAAGAATTTAATTATCTAATGGCTCATAAACATAATAGACAGCACGTTTTACTATTATTAGATAATTATCCAAGTCATAATTTACAAGGTTTAACACCTTCACATATTGAAGTTTATTTTCTACCTTCTAATACAATTTCAAAATTATAACCAATGGATATTGGAATTATTATGTCTTTTAAAAAACATTATCGCTATTTACATATTCAGTAAATTTTGATAATTTTTTTTTATTAAAAAATTTTATTAAAAAAAAATATATTAATTTTAATATTAATTTTAGTTGGATGTTAGGACAAATTAAAGCTGGTGAAGATATCCGAGATTTAAAAATAAATGCTTTACAAGCAATCCAATACATTATTTAAGGCTGGAATGAAGTTACAACCAAAACAATTCAAAATTGTACTGAAATTCTTCTTAATAATAATAATATTATTGATAAAGTTAATGTTATTGATGAAACTAATGATTTAATACTTGATGAGCAACTTCATAATGCAATTAAAACTCTTCGTCTTCCTAATGCAATGAAAGTAAAAGAATTACTTACCATCTCAAAAGAAAAAAAAGTTTATGAAATTCTTGAAGATGATCAGAAATTACAGAACTTGTAAATACTTTTAAATCAAATAGAGATAGTATTAAAAATTTAGATGATATAGATGATAGTACAGAAGTTCCAACTGTTAGTATTAATATAGCATTAAAAAGTTACAAATTTCTACTGTTTGGCCACCTAAGTAGTTATCCCAATTTTGCATAAAAACAGCAATCACTTCATAGCCTCTTTTTTTTAAGAGATAAGCTGCCACAGCTGAGTCCACTCCCCCACTTAAAGCGAGAACAATTCTTCCACTACTTATCATTAGTATATTTTTATTTCAGCAAGAGAATGCAAATGAATATATAAAATCAATAGATAAAATTGGAAAATTTATTAAAAAGAAAAAAACCTATATAATGTAATAAACTACTTTGGATCAATATTATTATAATTAGTTTATTCAATAAATTTTATAATAAAATTTATATTTGAATTGTTTTAATTAACTTTTATTTATCTATTTTTGATATTTATATTATATAAAATTTCTAAAAAAATATTTTTTTATAAATGCATACCCTCTATAAATGCATGGTTATGCTTGGTCCCAAGAGGATACATTTATAGAGAGTTGACTGTATTTTAATCTGAATTTTAATCTATAAGTTTATTTAATTTTAATTTATTATTTCTAGAAAAAATTATAATGAGTAAAGACCGCTAATAATTATTTGCGAATAATAATATATGAATTATGAAATACAAAAAGTGGTCTTTATTGTAAAAGTCTATCATCACTGTATACAATCTCTTATGACGATCAGTTAAGGTTTACTATTTTTTTTAAAAAAAATCTCATTTATAAATTTTAATAAATTACTAAATATTTTTTTATTATTTTAGCTAAAAAATCTTTTTCATAGTGTACTTGACCAAAATGTTGCAACCTCAGTCATTTCAGTAAGGATACAATAAAATTAAATATATAGAAGGTGGTCAATAAAAAAGGGGTAAATCTAAAGATAGGAACTGTAATTAATATGTTGCAACTTTTAATGTTGCAACTTACGTTGCAATTAGTTTTAACCTATATATGTTGCAACTTATAATGTTGCAACATATGGTGCAACTAATTTTAGCTTATGTTGCAAAATTTTGTAAATTTGAAATCAATTGCTGTACCATCTTTAGGTAAATCCAAAATTTTTGTTAATTTTTATTATTAAGCTAAATTTGAGCACATGACTGAAATCGGCCAAGTGGTCCAATAATATAAATTTTGACCAAAATTTAGATTTTCCCCTTTTCTACTGACTACCTTCCATTTGATGATCAGGTGTAATATTTTGACCAGCCATATCTTTCGAACGCTCCTGAATGGTTTTGAATTGAACAACTGAATATATTCTTCGATACTGATATCGAAAAATCAGGTAAAAAAATATATTACAGATAATGAAGAACTTGTTAAAGTTTAAAGAAAGCAAACATTAGCAGAATGTAGTAATAAGTACTATGTTTTGACTATTTCGAGATGGGTGATTAACAGTGACAACTATCTCAAGATAGTAGATACAATAATAATGACAATTTTTCTTTTGCTTATTTTTATTTTTTTTTATAAATGGGAGGACAGGTGGGATATTTTAAGTTTTGCTTTTATTTTGTATTTTGTTCTTTTTTTTGTTTTATTTTTTTATAAGACATTTTAAGTTTTTTTATTTGCTTTTTTTCGCATTTTGTTCATTTTTTTCATATTTTGTTTTATTTTTTTATAAATGAGAGGGTGGGTGAGACAATTTATTTTTATTTTTATTTATTTGCTAGTTTTTTAGTTTTAAATCGAAGGACGATTGAAAAACAATGATGATAACAATTTATCAATTATGATTGTGATTTCTTTTTTACTTTTTTTTATTATTTTTTTAGTAGTATTTTTTATTTGCTTTTGTTGCATAATGAATAAAATTAATAAAAAAATATTATTTTTCAAAATTGTAAAATAAAATAAATGTAATTTACAAAATAAATTCTCAGCTAAAATTAGACAAACGATTTATGAATGATTGATGAATGATTAATATTTCCAATTGATTTATATTATGTCAATCAGAATTAATGTAAATCAGCTATAAATCGTCTGTCTGATTTTTAGCTGATTTATACACATTTTGACCAGTGGTTAAATCTTAATGAGTTTTAATGAATTAAGTTAATTTATAATTTAAATTCAAAATAGCTAAAAATTGCAATTACAAATCTGTTAAAACTGCAAAATTTTGGAATTGTATATTAATAATTAGACTTCAAATAATTATTTGAAAAATATATTTTTAGCATTTAAGGTTGATGAGTTATTAGATAGCAATTCTATACCATTTCTTTTAAAAGCAACTATATATTTTAAAAAATAAAATTATAAAATAATAAAAGAATCTTAAATATAATTATCTTTAATATACTAATTAAATTTCATAAAAGAAAAATTAATCATGTAAAAATTCTTATTAAAAACTTATACATTGTAATTTTATAAGAATTCACTAACTTATTTATTATATCAAAAAAATTCAAAACTTTATTTCTTTTTATAGAAAGTATCTATTAATTTATTTTAATTTCTTTTATTTTAAGTATATAAATATTAATAATTATACTATTATTTAATTATATTAATTTTTGAATAACTTTCATAAGAAAATTATTAGTATTATATAAAAAAAAAATTAAGCATATATTTAAAAAAATGAAAAATTTTAAATGAATATTAACAAAAGAATTATTTAGAATTACATTGATATATCTTTCAAATAGATTTTTAAATTATATAAATATAGAATAAATACATTATTATTAAAATCACTTTTATTATTAATATCACTATTACAAATAACATTATTAATACTATATGGAAGGTTTGCTAGGAAAATGGGACTCTGAGCATTTTTTATTAAAATTTTAATATTTATTGCATTTAATCTAACATTATCAAAAATTAAAATGCAATAAAAATTAAAATTTTAATAAAAAATGCTTAGAGTTCCATTTTCCTAGTAAACCTTCCATATGTTTAAATGTTCTTCTTCAATTCTTTTATTATCTTAGTTAATATTATTTTTATTTAAATAAAATAATAAGTAATATTTTAATAATAATAATTTTTTTATTAATATATTAATTTAAAAAAAAAAAATATTTAAACTATTACTATCATTAATATTATTACTAATATTATTATTATTATTATCATCATTATCAATACAAATAATATTACAAATACTATTAATACCACTAACATAATCAATATCACTAATACTACCAATAGGATTCCTCAAAATCGAATCAAATCAAATATTTAAGCAATTTGAATTTGATTTAATTTTTTTAAATTGAATCAATTTGAATTCAAATATTTGATTAAATTGATTTGATTTTGATAAATTTAATTAAATTGAATCAAATATTTGTCGAATTAAATTAAATTAAATCAAATATTTGATTGAATCAAATTAAATCAAATTAAATCAAAAATAAAATTTTTTTAATTTTTACAATGATATATTAAAATAAAGTTATTTAAAAGTTTAATCAAGACAATTATTAGTAATTGCACTAAAAATTTTCAAGATAGCTTTTATAAAGTAAGTTTAGTAACAGATGAGTTTTTACAATTAAAAACTTAGTAAAACAATTTTGCAGCTTTAGTTTTACTAAGAAAACTTAATAATAATACCCATTATAGCTTTAGTTTTACTAACAAAAACTTATTAATAACCATTATTGTAACTTTGAAACTATTTTATTAATAAAAAATGTTTCTAAAGTTATAAATGCATTTTTTTATTAGGTTTCTTAATAAAAAATTGTTTCTGAAGCTACGAAGATGATTTTTACTATATTTTCTTAATAAAATAATGTTTCAAAAGTTGCAAAGAAATTTTTTACTATGTTTTTTTTAGTAAAATAATGTCTCTAATACTACAGAGTAGGGTATTCAGGGATTTGTTGATCATGATTTTTCAACAATTTTGACTTTTTTTTTGATTTTAGCATGATCACAATTTTCAGTATAATTTTGCAATTTTTATGTCATTTAAATTTGATTGGATAATCTAAATTTTTTTGTTAAATCAACTTCTAACTTTCACTTAAAAAAATGGTTGCTTCTCATATATGTTTAACATATAATATAGAATATCAAGAAAATTATATTTTATAAGGCAGTTTATTATGGTGTCGATTTTGCAATATAGAAGTTGACCATAAAAGAAAAGACTCTATAGATAAACATTTAATTACAATAAAGCATCTAAATAACAAAATTCATAGAAATGATTCTCCTTTGTTAATTAAAAGAACTTTTTTATTATTTAAAAATACATTAAATGAAAAAGACAAATTAAATATAGAAGTTGTTAAAGCCTTTTCTCTTGCAGATATTCCCTTAAAGAAAATTAAACAATTAAAGCCTTTTTTGTTAAATCATTGTAAAAATGATATGATATTATATTTATATTTTAATTTTATAATATTTTTATTATTAATAATAATTTATTTATAGGAAGATTAATTACTGATGCAAATCAACTTCGTGAAAAGTTTTTTCCCTGCTTATATGATTTAGAAATTCAAAAATTAAAAAATAAAATTATTGACAAACTTATTTATTTAACAATAGAAAAACAACAAATTGTTGTGATTGACATACTGTCAATATTTTGTTTAGTTTTGGTAATTAAACCAAATTAACTAGAACCGAATTTTTAGATAATATAAATATTTCTTCTATTTTTTAATTTGTAATGAATACACTTCATTTTTATAAAATTCCCTATCAAAATATTATTTTTTTTTTAACAGATAATGCCTCTTATATGAAATTAGCATATTCTTATTTAACTCTTATTTTACTAAATATTAAATAAAATTATTATTTAGCACATATTTTAATTTGATTAGAGAGATATAAATTGATTTTAAACATTTTGAATTATTTGATAAATTGGTTGCAAATTTTAAAGCAATATTTATTTATAATTCACAAAGAAAAATCCATTAGAAAAACATTTATTACAAAATAATATTGAATTTTCTACTTTAACACTATTACTTTAAAAATAAGATAGAATTCAAGGTTTTCTTTTTTTATATTGGATTAAACCTTTATATCCTTATATAATTATATTTATTAATACAGAATATAAAATCAACTATGATTCAAAGACTATATAATACTTTTATAAATTTTGTTAAAACCAAAATTATAAGTAAGAAAATTTTTAATTATTTTAATTAAATTAATAACTTTATTAATTATTAAAA